CACACATATATATATAGATATATATATATATATATATTAATAATTATATAATATATATATGTGGTGTGTGGGTGGTGTGTGTGGTCGTGTGTGTGTATATTTAGTTAATATTATATATATATCTATATATATATATATATATATATATAGATATATATGTATATATATAATATATATATATATATATATATATATATATATATATATTATGTATAATATATATATATATATATATATATATATATGTATATATATATATATATATATATATATATATATATCTACATATATATATTTATGTATATATATATATATTATATATATATATATATGTATATATATATATATATATAATATATATATATATATATATTGGGCATATATTATTTTTTATATGTATACACATACTCAATCACAAGCAAGCACACATGTACCCCGGGTATTTGGGAAGGGCAAGAAGAGCCGGTAGTCTTGCGTCATCAGCGTTTGTGTACACGAACGCGGAGCAGCTGATCCCGAGGAGCGACGACCCTCGGCTGGAACTCAACTGGAGAAAGTTTCTTATTACAGCATTTGTTGCGCAACTCACGCCAAACTACTGTTGCCTCAATACTTGCAATAGTTGGAGGTACGGTATTGGGCTGGCGTTTCAAAACGTAATGTCGTTGAAGAAGATTTGTAAATTTTAGTTAACATACATACACTTGTAGGGGAATTCACTTAGGCATATGTATATGTTATGGTTGTCATTATAATTTCACAATAAGACAGTTGAAATACAACAGTGTCGTGTAGTCTGTTTGTGAATGGCATGTGACACAGTCTGTGTGATGTAAGTTTGGGTGTGAGTGCATGCAATTGGGAGGGATGGGTGGCTGGGTGGTTGCGCGCGTGTAATTGTGGTGGATGGGTGGTTTTGTGGATACAAGGTTGCATGCATTCTTGGGTGTGTGTGCACATGCACCTTTATAAACAGCACATCTGATTCAGTCAATGTTTCATCATGAAATTATAAGGAAACAGTGCTCATCATTAGACAAATAAGTTAATTTGTAGTGACTATTTTCAATAAGATTTAACATGAATAACATTTAAAATCAAGATTGAGAGAATCATATTGTTCTTACTATTCCCAAGTGTTTTATCCTTATGATCAGGTTATCAGATAATTAACTCTTCATGTCAAACCACACTATAAGCATCTTTACCGGAAAAGAAAAGATCCTTTCAGGTTACCTTGCAATGTCTAAACTTGTAGAAGAAAGTACCACTTAACAGAAGAGCTCTATATGTATCCACTTCACCAAAGGGAAACACAGACTGGCAAATTTACTGAGTTTACACAACTGGGTCATGCTCTGGAAAGAGGCCATACACTCGGTACTGGGAGAGAAGGAAAATGGAGGCCCAAAACACCAACAACTGTCATCTGGAACACACCACTGCATTTATCCTTGGGAATCAAGGAGTCACTGTGCTCTGTTGTTTCTTAATATATATAATACTAGTTATAATACTTAGTACTTGATGTTATGTGTTTGAGTTATTAAATTGAATAGACAACATTTATTTGAAAATTCAGAAGCATGTGGTGATTTGTTTCCCCTGAAGAGAGAGTTGTTATGCTTTCACTGGGTGACAAGGCCTCTTTGTGGTCGTGCCTGTGTCATGGTGTAAAGTTGATACATTTCAGTATAATCTAATATGAACAGGATGTATGAAGTTTACCTAATTTAAACTTGGATGACTATACAGATGAGCATATTGTTAATACAAATAAAAAAAAAAATTACAAAATGATCTTATCATACATATATATATATCTACTATATATATAGTATATAGATATCTATATATATATATTATATATATATATGATATATATATATACACACACACACACACACACACACACACACATATGGTGTGTGTGTGTGTGTGTGTGTGTGTGTGTGTGTGTGTGGTGTGTGTGTGTGTGTGTGTGTGTGGGGGGTTTTTTTTTCGTGTGTGTGTGTGTTGTGTTTGTGTGTGTATAATATACTATATGTATATACATATATATATGATAATATATATATATATATAGATATACACATAGTATATATATATATATTATATATACTACTATATATATATATATATATACACATTATATATATAACACACATATATAATATATAATATATATTATATAGATATATATATATATAATATATATATACGTAATATATATATATGCATCATATATAACACATACATACACACATATACATACAATGCACACACTTGACATAATATGTATATATTTGTATATAAATGTATATACATATATATACAATCAGAGCTGAGAACATGAGAATCAATGGATAATTCAGATGAGAAGTAGTAGAGGGCAGTACTCGTAATGGCATTGGGAGATTTAGTACAAGTGTAGCCATCTGATATAAAACAATAAACAAGTAAAAATCACAGTGGGTATGGTCACGTATACGTGAAACCAACTCGGCGTGAATGGGTTAATAATTGGAGCAGTCCCGGTATTCTTTTGGGCTGTCAGTCATGATCGCATGAGCTGCTGCAATTATGAGTATGTGTGTGAAGATCTTAGGCTGGACACTTTCAGTATGATACAAACAACGAAATTATTGATTGACATCCAGGTAGTTTTGACAGTATTTTGCTCTAGATTTTCTTTTTATGTTATATTTTCATTTTGATAACCATCTATGTTTTTGCAAATGAGACTGGCAAGATTGGGTGTATAATGTTATATTGTTTCTTTCAAACTTTTGGGTTTTAGTGGTTAAGACATGTATTTTCATATCATGACTTTCGTAATTTCACGTAAACTGTCAGTGTATCTACTCAGAAAACTGAAGCGAACAGAAAACACTGGAAGATATCTAGCAGGCCAGTAAACTGCTGTGTAACATTTACTTAGCCTTTGAGGTTTGTCAGTACCCGTACAAATCACTTTTTGAATATCTTCAACGAAGCATGAAGGTATAGTCTTGTAAAAGGTCCTGGTGGATGTATTGCAACAGAGGGAAGAGAATGCATGTAGTTCCCAAGAAACACTAGAAATTGCCATGGCAACATGTTTGTGTGTGTTCTACCTGTTTTTCTGTGATAAGTGTGTTTAATCTGGATTATGTAATAGATGATAATAATATTAAAAACCAAAATTTGATAAGATCCTGCCTTTTGATGCCAATAAGTTATGTTTGAATAATTAGCACATATATTATGCAGAGGATATACAAATATATTACATATACATATTATATATCGACTATATGTGTGTGTTGTGTACATATATATATATACTATATATATAGTATAGATATATATATATATATATTATATATATGATTTATATATATCATC